TCTTCCTCCTCCTTCTCCTCCTCTTCATCCGAGGAGTCGAAGATACTCTGATAGGAGCGTCGAGTCTCCTTCTCCTTGCGGAGTGGGGACTTAGAGGGCGTACGCTTCTTTGAGGGCTTGGCGCCTTCGGCTTTAGAGGCCTTATCACGCGCAAGACCTCGGCAAGCGAGAGACGTTTGCGAGGATTCTTTTTCTCATCGCCACCAGCTTTGGGAGTGCCCTTAGCCTTGACGGCCGGACTCTCAGAGCGCACAGACGTCCTGGGACTGTGATTACCTCGATCACTAGCGAGCGACTGCACGCTGTCGTCCTTGTGCTCGCTGGGCACTGGGCCGTGTCCTCCCACAGAGCCCGCAGGAGCATCGTGCGTGCTCTCGGACTCGGCTTCGTCCTCACTGCCAGAGTCGAACTCACGCTCTACGAACCGAGGGTTCGGACGATTGTCTGGAGAGGCCGAGGGCGACGGGCTGTTGCGCTTGCTTGTTCGCTTGCCCACAGCCTTGTCGCCCGAAGAACCGATCGCGTCGGAGGCCACCTGAGTAGCCTCCTCAAGTGCCGAGTCTTTGCCGTGAGGCTTAGTGCTCTTGGCTTGCGCCTTTCCGGCAGCAGGCTTGGAGCGTGTCTTCGCACCGCTCTTAGCAGTGCCACGAGGCATGGTTAACGGTCGAAGTGGAAGACCTAGAAGAAGAGCGCACAGACTGCTGCTCGAGGCTCTAACTGTGAAGTGAGCCTCCGCCGCGCTCGCGCGGCCAAGTCGATGGTTTTCGACTTTGAGAATGAAAGTTTGTGACGAACACCTCTTCATTCTGATTGGTCGGTAAGCCGAACTTAAGTGGGGGAGGATGTAACGGGGTACGTAACCTCAAGTGTACCCTAGTTACATGAAGTGTGACACGTCACACTTTAGAAGTATGACACGTCATACTTTGGGATATTTGGTACAAAGTACCAAGGTCGTCCAAAGGTTGATGACATTGCATTTCTAAAGCTAGCCTATAGTTTGTATTAAGCCCAAGCTTTATCTACCTATAAGTCACCTATAGAAATGTCACAGATTTGGTAATGAAACTCAGAAATTTACGTAATTAAATTGCTCATCACGGATTTGATTGCCGTTTAGAACGAATTTGAGTGCACAAAGGTGCTCGTTCGGTGTGGTCTTGACACGGGGAAAGCTCATACTCCGTAGCAGTACACGGCGGAATGATTTTAAGGTTTTGCAAGATATGCTGGCTGGAAGGCTAGACCGAAATGGAGAGTGGCGTATCTAGCGCTTGATCCTCTAAGGCGGCCGACTGCAAGCGAATTGGTTTATAAGCTTGTAATGGAAAACGGAGAAAAAGTGTAGCTCCGTAAAAGCAAAGATCACACATTTAGGACCGCAACACTAATCTGCTGCTTGCAACATATCTGCAACTTGAGCTGCCGTCGGTCGACGAATCGGATCGTGCTGGCAGCAGGCCACACCAATACGGCGGATCCTTGACGGGCAATTCTCAGAGAAACTAGGACGCAACATACCTGCCATAACATCCGTCAAAATCTGGAATGGTTTTGGCTTCTTGCCTTCAGCTGTCAAAGCGTCGTGATACGGGACCTTGCTGGTGTCCAGCTCCGTCAGCACCACCCCGAACGAGTAGATGTCCGCCTGCTCCGTGTACCGCTTGCCTTCCAGGACTTCAGGCGCTGTCCAGTACGGCGTGCCGACTCCAGCAGTCATCGAGTACTCCTGTCGATCCCGACTTACACCAAAGTCGATAAGTTTGGCCTCCAGTCGACTTGTCAGCAGAATGTTCTTTGACTTGAGGTCGCGATGGATCAGAGGAGGCGACCGACAGTGCAAATACTCGAGGGCACGTCCTACACCAACAGCAATTTGGATTTTGTCCCGAGGCCAAGACAACAAGTCGCCATTCTTGGCCAGATACTCCTGCAAGTCTCCCATCGGGAAGAACTCGAGTGCCATCACCAGGTTGCTGAGACTATTCCACGCCACACCAATAAACGACACGATGTTGGGGTGAACCAAACTGGCACTAAGCTCAATCTCGCGTGCAAACTCCTCCACTTCATCCGCGCGGTGCGATTTGATTTGCAGCAATCGCTTGATGGCGACTTGCTGGCCTTCGTACTCGCCCAGCCACACCTCTCCACATGCTCCTTTCGACAGAGATTTCTTGAAACTGAGACTGTCGTAGGGGATTCGTTTTCCAATGAGGCCCTCACTGTTTAGCAGGATTTGGAGGGTACTGTTGGGCCCGGAACCGAAGTCACTGGCAGAGCTGGTACTCGACTTAAACTTGATGGTCTTGTCGACACCTTTGTGCGAAACAGTCAACGTGTCATCGAGTGTTTTAGCGGTGGACCCGTCACCGTGGGCGAACTCACTTTCAGCTGCGTTGTCTTGCTTTAAACTGTCAGGACGGCACGTGTCTAAGTAGATCAGCGAGTCTTCGAGGGCGTCTCCTTCAATGTTACGTTGTCGTTTACGCTTCGCAAATACAAACAGAGCAATCAGGCCGACGACGACGAGGACACCAGCGAGAATGGGAGCGATCAGCACAGCGTTAAACCCGCCGTCTTTGTCAGAGGAGGTCGCTGATGTAGTCTTCGACATTTCTGAGTACTCTTCACGAAACCATTTTGTAACCCAGGGAGACCCCTGAACTTCTTCCATCGCATCTCTCACATCGTCTGTGAGGTATTTCGTTGTGTGACACGGCAACACGAGCGATCCATAGCCACCGTTTTGTTCCTTGGGACACTCGCCATAAGCGGCTTCATCGTCACCAACCACCGTGTGTACAGCCATGACGACGTATGAAATGTTGCTGAAGTCATCCTTCCACGAATGTTTCCGTACTTGCGGCGTCGGGATCACGGTAGGATTGCCACCAGTCATCCACATGGCGAGATGAAGCCTGTCGCTTTCATCGAAGTCCTCGACGACGCAACGAGCTGCAGTGAGCATCTGCGTACCGCTGCAGTACAAGTTGCTTCGACTCACGATGGTCGTGCCAGGCTGCGTGCAATTCGTCTCCTCGCATTCCACAGCTCTGAACTGGTCAAGTGGAACGGCCAAGTCGCTCATGGAGTGCCCGCCAAGTGTCCATATCTGGACGACCCTGTTGTCCACTGTGACGCCGAAGCCCGAGTCCCACAGCAACGCGCGTTGGGCGATGCCCGGTAGGTCATCCCACTCGAGATCGACGTCCTCAAGACGACGCTGAATTGCGCCCGGTAGTACTAAACCAGAGTACTTTTGCTCTGAGCCACCAGCTTTGGCCCGCAGGTACAGCTGTCTCGCCAGATCGGAGTTGCTGCCGTCGAAGGCGAAGTATGTGGCATTGGACGGCAGTCGAACGTCGTCGTCCGAACTCGATAGGCGTCGAGTGCGACCACTGTTCATGGTCCAACGCGTCGAATTGAGTGGTTGGATCTCGTGCCAAGCTGGAGAAAGACAGATTGATAAACCCGTGGATAGAGGGGTTGGCCCCACCATGGAAGTTTTTTATACACGGAATTTCGCGACGCGCGCCACGTAAGCTATTGCCAGCCTTCGCTGTCCAGTGAACTGGCGACCGTTGTATCATTTGAGCCCGTTGGTGCCGGACAAACCGTTTCCTGACTTCCGGCGCTACTTGGAATGAACCTCGAGTGAATATCGGAACTCGAAGGGCTGAACTCGTGCATCCGCGTCTGGACCTTTTTGATGGAATTATCACTGCAACACTTTACCCAATACATGTAATGTCAATATGAGTCTCTGATAGCGGCAGTTCAGATTAGGAAAAGGTCACGGTCTTCGAGAAGAAGAAGAGGGTCACGACCTTCTCCTTCTCTGAACCTACCGGTGGATGCGGGACTGTGGGAGGCATCGAGCAGCAGCTCTTACAGTTGGCTGGTGGTGAATTCGTGACAACTACAAAACATACACCTGGACAGCTTATTGGCACTTCAATTGCCTACATGAGATGGATTTGCGCTGCACAGACCGAAAAACCACTGTTTAAAATGCCGCTATTAGCAATGGGTACATTTGTGATATCTCGACGGCGCCATGTAACGTGTGCACCGCAAGTCAACTCGTGCCCTCGTCCATCGACTTTCTAGAGCTGGCCGTCAACTCGACAGTCGAATTTGCCATTCTAAGATTCGCCTCGCAGCCATGCGATTGATCTCGGCATTTCGATTGCTGTTAGGAGCCGTTGGTCAGGGCCACACCGTGTCGTTTCGGAGTCTGGAGGAGACTTCCTCGTCCAGTCCCTCTTCTTCCTGTGTCTTCAACGGCTCGGACTCGGACATTGCGCAGCAGCTCTACATCCGACACAAGGCCGGCGACACCGGTGACCAAGTGGAGCTAACGTCGGTTCCTACCGCGGTTTCTGGGCGTCTCGACGCCATCAACGTCGACTTTAACAGCCTGCCGGGGCTCGTCCAGCGCGCTGTTCTTTGGGACACGGGCTTTGCCATTGCGCCAGGTAATGTACCGGTGCAAATCTACCCAATGCACAATCGCACCATGGACAATATCGCCATCCCAAAGTGGGAAGTCTCGGGTGTGGACTGCACCTTCACGAATTGCTCGCAACCAAATGATATAACGGCTTACTACAGTCATACGTGCACGGGATGGCAGATGCTTAATACTTCACACTGTGTGATCGATGTCTTCGAAGACTCGGGTGCTGGAACGTACCTAGGCAACATGTGGGCGAATGGAGGGGACCCGGACGTCGCTCCGTTGATCGAACTGAGGGATCACACGTGGACGGAGCCAGTGTTTAATACTAGCACCACCTTCTCCGTCTATGTGGTGCATACAGTCTATAGTTCGCAAGAACCGGCCTGGGGACAGTGTCCCTTGGGTTACGGAGCCGTGAGTATCCCATGTGCTAGACGCGACGCGTTCACAGACGAGTTCATGGCTGCAAACACCACAATCCCGACCGGAAGTGCGTGGGTGACTACGTGGTTGGAAGACGAGTTCGCCGAGAAATCCTCAGGATTCGACACAATCCTATTGATCCCGATCATCCTTGGTGTCGTCGCGGTTCTTGGTGCTCTCGGTCTGGGCTGGTTCTGCTGGAAACGCAAAGCCGAAAACAGGGCGCATAAGTCGACGTCTGCAGCCCACGACATGGAAACGGACCAATACTTGGCTGTGGGCACTCCAGAGATGATACTTGGACCCACTGGGTTGACCACACAGGGCTCCACTATCTCGAGTCACTACGAGAGTGCTGGATCGAACAAGACGCTCAAGATCTTGCTTGACAGTGAGCACTTACAAGGCAAACGCATCCCATACGACAGTCTACTATTTGAGCGAGCTGTCTCAAAGGGAGCGTCAGGAGAAGTGTGGATCTGTCAGTACAACGGACAGCAAGTGGCAGCCAAGAGATTGCTGCAAAGCAAGGACCAGAACGCTGAAAAGGTGCAAGCGTTTGCCGCTGAGATCGAGCTGAGTGCCAGTCTTGTTCACCCGCATATCGTCGAGTTCATCGGTGTGGCGTGGAATAGTCTGAATAACTTGACAATGGTGCTCGAGCTCTTCCCTATGGGCAATTTACAGAATTATCTACAGAAGAATTCCGACCTGTTGTCGTGGGCGAGAGACAAGATCCACATGGCCATCGGAGTGGCCCAGGCTCTTGCGTATCTGCACGCTCGCACGCCGCCTCTCATCCACCGTGATCTCAAGTCGAACAACATTCTGTTGACTGATAAGCTGGAGCCTAAGCTCATCGACTTTGGAGTGAGTCGTGACACTGTCGACCTCACCATGACAGCTGGAGTTGGCACACCGTACTGGACAGCGCCAGAGATCCTGGAGGGCAAACGATACACGGAACAAGCGGATATTTACTCGTTTGGTGTGGTACTCACGGAGCTTGATACGAGCAAAATCCCGTACTCAGATGCGGCAACGGAACATGGAGGCAAACCGAAGCCATTCCAGATCCTGCAGGACGTTATGGCCGGCAAGCTTCGTCCGACCTTCTCCAAGGACTGCCCTCCTCGGATCCAGAAGATTGGAATGGCTTGCCTCGCTCTCAACCCAGAAGATCGTCCGTCGGCGCAGGAACTGGTGCAGGAGCTTCAGGGAGACGGAGGTGAGCAGTACAGTAGGCTTTCAGGCTTTGTGGTGTGATGTTTATTAGGGTTGGAGACGGAATGTACAAATGGAAAAGTTCCCGACAAAGATTTACTGAATCTGAGCCACAAATCGTAGTTGCAAAGCACTTTCGACTAAGTTGAAGTGATAAGAATACTGTGTTCTGATTGGTAGATTATGGCTGATGAAAATCAATCGTGGCAGCCACTTGCAAGTGTAGGTCTCTGCGGATGGTGCCAACATTTAAGTCGCTTTTTCATTTGGCGATTTCCAACATGAAGAGGACGCGGAAGCTAATCAAAGTTTTAGCGAGTTTATTGCTGCTGGTACAGTTTTGTCATAGTTGGAGCCATCCGAACTCCTGTGGGGACGAATCAAGTGAAGTATCACATCCCAGTCCAACCCCTGCAGCCACTTCAGCCGCGTCCGAAAGTTATTCATCAGCAAGCTCAAGATCAAGTGGATCGGCACCGACTTCGTCATCTCGTGGTAGCGACGGTAGCTCGAGCTCATGCGGTTGTTCGTTAAGGCCGACGTTGGTATCAGCTTCATCAGCGAGGGGTTCCAGCTCATTCCCGGACACTGTTACGTCGGATATTGCCCAGCAGCTTTACGATCGGTTTCAGGCAGGCGATGAAGTCGAGCAAATGGTCCTAGAAGATGTTCCTGCGGTTATTCGAGCGAGGCTAGAGAGCCTGTCATTATCGTTTGAAGATCTACCTGGACTCATGCAGCGTGCTGTCTTATGGGACACTGGGTTCGTCGTCACGTCCCACCAACGAGCTGTGCAGCTTTGGACCCTGGACAACAGAACTATGGCAGACATCGCGGTATCTGCCGAAGCGTTCGAGGAGGCAGGCTGTGACGCTGTTACCTGCACAGCATCAAACGGTGATAACGTCGAAATGTACTCATCTTGCAGCCAAGGCCCGGCTCAGATGTTAGCGGCTTCGAAGTGCGTTGTCGAAATGTTTGATAGTACTGAGAGCTCGAATGCAACACTGTGGTCAACTAGTGGCAATTCAAGTACAGTTCCTGATATTCGCGTCGCTAAGAGTACAGGAACAGCCGAGTGCGGTTGCGGATACACAATTTACTCGATCCAAACAGCGACCTCTAACGAGCAAGCCACCGCGACGGGAGTCTGTCCCGCTGGTGAATGGTCTGGATCGCTAGTGATTCCCTGTTACGGAAGCGACAGCATCCCGGAGTCAATCGCAGCCCGAGTTACTCCTCCAAAGGGAACTGACTGGGTCACACGCTGGATCTTGGAGCATGGGGGGCCTCGGAGGACAACAGAATCGTTTGCGCCCTCTCAAGGTTCTGCATCAGCGACAACAGAATCCGGGAGGAAAAACGGCGGTGGCTTCAGCTTGTGGTGGCTGCTGCTCATCCTGCTGATCATTGCCCTTCTAATCGTCGCAACAATTGTTGCATGCCGCCACTGCCATCGCTTGAGTCGCTTCCACACACCACTCGACAACACAACCTACATCTTTGTCGGTGGTCGCATGTGGGCGGTGGAAGATGAGAGTCGCAGCCGGCGTGCAGGTTACTGGCTCCGATTTGCCAATTGGTGCAGGAAAACCTTCAATTTCTTTGAATAATGCAAAATTTAAGCTCTTGAAGTACCACCATGATACTGTTGCAGTCCGTTACCACAATTGTATGGCGACGACGCCCTCTTTCCAGCAAAAAAGAGTAAGAAAAATAATTTGTGGGACGAAAAAAGTAGTTTTTGGTGGGTGACACCGTGGTCCGATTTGATTGTGCGGAGTCCACTGTGTATCTCCCTTTGGCTTCGAGTTGAAGCTGCACTCACTTTTGCTTTCACCCCCGCAATGTCAAGTAGCAGCTCAATCTCTTCCAGCGGATCTTCGTCTTCAAATGATACTAGTAATCAAAGCTATAACATGGGGCTTTTGATACCGATCATTGGTGTGGCGATGCTGTTACTTCTCGGAGGAGCGTGTTGCTGCTGGATGCATCGGCAATGTCGAAAACTGGGGCGAAAGCCGAAGGTGCCGACAGCTACCGGGATCACGCGGTGCTGATTTCCTTTCCTCAACTCGGTCAGTCGGGTGAATTTAGCGATATCGTTACTTACAAACAGGGGGAGAGGACACTTTCTCCACCCGCGGAGTTCCACCTCGAGAAGCGTACGAATTGGGCTCTGACTCGGGACCAAACTACGTCTGGAGACTTCTGCAGGAAGATCAAAATCTCGCCAGGATCAGAATTCCCTACAAGGAGATCAAGATCCGAGCTTTGCTATCCAGGAGCCAAACCCGTGAAATTCGATTGGGCGAGTACCGGAACCAGCAAGTTGTCGTGAAACGATTGCTCAAGGCCAAACGCTCGCATCTTTTCCACGTCCAGGAGTTCATTTACCAGATCCAGATCCGTTCGACACTCGCTCACCCGAATATCGTGACGTTGTTGGGTGTAGCGTGGAACAGCGTGGCCGACGTCATGTTAGTCATGGAGCATTACCCATCGGGAGATCTGTTTTCGTACTTGCAAAACTACAGCAACTACACATCGTGGGAGCGCGGCAAGTACCGACTAGCCATCGGAATTGCACGAGCCTTGGTGTATCTCCATAGTCAACCGACACCAGTTGCTCACCGCGATCTACGAGCGAGTAACGTGCTACTCACTGAGACGATGAGACCAAAGCTAACAGGTTTCGATTCGTCGTGTCCGGACGAGCACAGTCATCATTGTCACGTTGCTGGTGCACCGTACTGGTCAGCGCCGGAAGTTTTGAGAGGCAGGCCATACACGGCCAAATCGGACGTCTATGCGTTCGGCGTGTTGCTAACGGAGCTTGATACAGCGACCGCTCCTTTCCACGACGCAGTGTCACCCATCGGCACAAAACTCAAGCCGATCCATCCTGAACGAAGTAATGCAGGGAACATTGCGGCCGAGCTTCAGTCCGGAATGTCCTCGACGCATTCGCGTGATCGGCGTTGGATGTTACCAGCACGATCCAGATCGAAGACCAACTGCTACTCAACTACTTCGACTGCTTGAAGCGTAATGTATAGAGTAAAATGTAGCAACTCTAAACAAAAAAACGTGCACAGTTGGGAGATAATCAGCTACTCCCATCTATTTTCGGGTAAGAACGCTATTTTCGGATAAATCTAAGGGATTGCGATCCCGTCGTTCTTAACTGGATCGCGACCTGCCCCACAACGCAAAAGGAACGACACAGCACTTTAAATAAAAAAGTTTAATCAATATTTTGTTATGAATGCTGTATGCACATCATCCAGGGTTGCTCAAAATATTATTTATATGGATTTCTTCGTTTAATGCATGCATGGTAGATCGGAAATCCGCAAATAAATAATTTGTGCTGCGACTGTGGCAAAAAAATATCTGCATCAAAACGTGATCGTGTTACTAGATTAATGGCTTTGGGAAAACATGCTCCTCGAGCGCTGGGAAAAAGCGTCGGGCATGGCGAAGGTTGCAAGAGTTGGTAGTTTGGGCTGTGTGCGAATTGAAAAGTGAGTTTGAGTCGGCAGCACAAGTTTGCAGACAGCTCAAAAATCTGGTGGCTGCCGACAAGGACAATAAATTTTGTGAGGGAATTCATAAAATCCAAAAATAAATTTTCAAATTGTGGCCAGACCATAAGCAAATTATTTTTCCAAGGAAAAAATATATTTTTCAGTAAATATATTTTTGAGGATCCCTGGCTGAAGCCCTCCGTCTTGGCTTCTTCCTCGTCTTCTGATGAGGAAGCCAAAATATCGCTGAGCCGGTCAAGTCTGCTGATCTTGTTGGGGGTGGTCGCGCCGTGGTGACGCGCTTTTTTCAGCCCTTTCCGGCTGCATTTCGCGCCAAAATGAATGAATCGATTTCGCACTTTTCGATGATACAATTTTGAGGTCGTAGAAAACACGCTCTATAACACCGCTCACGTCACTAAAGTGCACATCACAAATTCGGGATATTTGACAAACATGATCGAGTCTAAGGAAAAAGACCAGTAGCAGGTCTCATCGACCTCTTTGTTCCAGTATGCTGGGTTAAAAAATTAGACCGGTAGGTTATTCAAAATGAACAGCTGAAATCCCAGTATACGATCTGTACGCCACAATCAGGGTAACGTTATGACTACATGTAATTAGCGTGAACGGTGTAAAGCCATCAATTTGAAAACCAGGTACTGTACTGGCATTTGAGGTTTTCTAAAACCTTTGTATAAAATTTCGAAACCTCGAGCACGGTAAAAATGGGTTCATTGCTACCCGCAAAATAGCATGCGTATGTCCACCGAGCGTTGGGTTCACATGTTCAGCAGTCCGTTGAATCGCTCCCTCGTAGAGTCAATTTACAAGATTTTAGTGCCGTTATTGTCGTCGGTAGAAAAATGTAGGGATGTTCTCATCGCTGGCGGCCCCGACGCCAGTCGATAATTTGCGTCGGTTTTCGATTTTAATTAAAGAAATGGTCTTGCCAAGAGAGCTCACCACGTCGGTCGACCGATGGGCACCAAGTGGCACCTTCGAATTCGACGGCAGCACCTCGGACCTCGCTTTACAGCTCTATCTGCGCTCACAAGATGGAGACGAACTCGCCCCACTGATCCTGTCTTCAATACCGGATACCGTCACTTCGAGACTGAGTGAAGTGAACGTGGCGTTCGAGGATTTGGACGGCTTCTCTCAGCGCGCCGTGCTCTGGGACAGCGGGTTCACAATGACCCCCGACGGCGACGTGAAGCAGATCTGGACACTCGACGGGTTGTCCATAAGGGAGATCGCGCTAACTCTGGAAGAGTATAAAGACACCAACTGTACGGCTTTCAAGTGCACGCAACCGGATGGTACCGCTGGCTACAACAACAATCTCTGCACTGGCACGGAAATGTTAACGGGGGTCAAGCGTCGTGGAGGAGCACGAGCAGGGTAACCGAGGTCTGGCCATGTGGTCCGTCGGTGGAGATCCGAGTACGATCCCGGAGATTGAGCTTGTCAAACATGTCTGGACGGACAGCGAGGCGTACAAGGTGTATGCGGTGCACACGCGGGGTGTCACTTCAGAACGAAGCTACGGTGGCTGCCCAACCACGACATCCTACGGATACCTGAACATGTTCTCGTGCTATGGAACGGATGATGTGTCACCCAGCGTGCTAACAGTGCCAACGCCTTCAGGCTGGGTCACGTCTTGGGCACAGTCGCTCGCTGCTAACCCAATCCCGAGATCAAAGGTTGCAGATACCTCAGCATCTTCAGGAGACGACAATTCTGGCAACAGTGTTACTTTGCTGGGTGGATCAATAGGCGGCGCACTGTGTCTCCGGCTCATCCTTGTGCTCGTAGCGCTGTTCGTTTTAGCGCGACGAAGACGAAAACCGTCCGAGCCAGAGGATCAAGGGTCTCCTAAGGTATTTGATCATGTGGAGATGGTGTCGCCGGATCCAACGCACTGGGACGACCAGCGAACTACACTCAGTTCTGCGTAGCGGATGTCTCCTTTGTTAGGTCGAGCTGTGGGGACTGGTTGGTAGCTATCATCGTGCGGATATTGAGGAGGAATGCCGTTCGACCACGAACCTTCAGACACGGGGACGGTAAACCCGGAGCGGGGCAAGGAATCATCGACTGTGGGGCGTGATTGTGTGGAGACTGCTGTCGTTCGCTCTTCCCTGGAGCGAAGAGACGAAACCGACGATCAGCTTCTGGGCCTGCTGTATCAGCACTGGCATACGAGGGAGAACCGCACGTTCGGATCTGAAAGGTGCTCCAACGTCGTACGAAAAGGCTCTTCAGACCTGGCAGCCGGGGGGTTG